AACCTTATTTTTTGTCCCCTTTCTATATTTCACCACAAAGTCGAACTCTTGCAGCAGCAATACCCATCTAATCAATCTCGGTTTTTCATCCTTCTTAGTCATCAAATACCTCAATGCAGAATGGTCAATATGCACTATGACCTTAGTACCAAGCAAGTAGGATCGAAATTTCTCAAATGCGAAAACCACCGCAAGAAGCTCCTGTTCAGTCATTGTATAGTTCTTTTGAGCCACATTTAGAGATTTACTGGCATAGTAAATAGGATGAAGAATCTTCTCTCACCTCTGTCCCAATACCACACCAAGCACCACTCCACTCGCATCACAATTACCTCAAACGGTTGCCCCCAATCCGGTGAAATAATGATAGGTGTGGAAACTAGCTTTTCTATCAACTGCCCAAATGCTCTCAGACAAGCATCATCAAACTCAAACCTACACTCCTTTTCGAGCAATTTGCACAATGGATGTGCAATTTTGGAGAAATCCTTAATAAACCTCCTATAGAAACCTACATGCCCAAGAAAACTTCTAACACTTTTAATAGAGATAGGTGGTGGAAGCTTTTCTATTACCTCGACTTTCGCTCTATCAACCTCAATACCCTTCTCAGAAATCCGATGACCCAGAACTATCCCCTCTTTCACCATGAAGTGGCACTTTTCCCAATTGAGCACAAGATTGCACTCTTCACACCGTTCCAATACTTCGACCAAATGGTCTAAACAACAATCAAAAGAGTCACCTACCACAGAGAAATCATCCATAAATACCTCAATAGTGTCCTCCACCATATATGAAAATATCGACATCATACAACGCTGAAAGGTCGCTGGAGCATTACACAACCCAAATGGCATTCGTTTAAAGGCGAAAGTCCCATAAGGGCAAGTGAAGGTGGTCTTCTCTTGGTCTTCCGGAGCTATAGAAATCTGATTGTAGCCCGAATAACCATCAAGAAAACAATAACAACCCTTACCCGCAAGTCGGTCCAACATCTGATCCATGAACGACATAGGGAAATGGTATTTTTCTGTCCAAGCATTTAATTTTTGGTAGTCCATGCAGACTCTCCATCTAGTCACGGGCCGCATCAGAACAAGCTCGTTTTTTCGCATTCGGAACCACAATCATCCCACCTTTCTTGGGCACACACTGAACAGGACAAACCCAACTACTATCTGCAATGGGATAAATAACCCCAGCATCCAACCACTTGATGATTTCCTTTTTCACTACCTCTTGCATAGGCGGATTTAGTCTTCTCTGATGCTCAATACTAGGCTTATGATCCGGCATAAGTTGGATTTTATGAGAACAAATGTCAGGAGAGATCCCAATAATGTCTACAATAGTCCACCAAATAGCCTGCTTGAACCTCTTCAACACGGAAACCAATGTCTCAACTTGTGTCACATTCAAATATGTGGCAATGATGACCAGTAAAGTACCATATTTCCCCAAGAATACATACCTCAAATGTGATGGTAGAGCCTTAAGCTCCAATTTTGGAGCCTCTTCAACAACGGTCTTGCGGGATGAGAGTCGTGATTCTTCATGTCTAACTCCAACCTTTTTGGTTTTGAACATAATTCGAACATATCAAGTGCAGCGACCAATTCATCATACTCTTCAATACCATCACCCTCAAAATTCATCATTACCGCTGCTAGTGCATCAACACCCAATCTCTCTTCAATAGGCACCTCATAACCACTCTCTACAATATGATTCACCACTGATACCGACTTGAGCTCACTACTCTGCTTCATGAATCTGCAAATGTTGAAAGTTACCTCTTCATTATTCAATCGAAACTTCATCTGCCCTTTATTCATATCGACCAAGGCGCGCCCAGTGGCAAGGAATGGTCTCCCAAGGATGATGGGAACCTCAAAATCAACCTCACAATCAAGTATCACAAAATCCTCCGGAAAGATAAAAGACTCCACTTTCACTAATACATCTTGGAGCACACCAATGGGCCTCTTCATAGTTCTATCGGCCATGAGCAATCACATCACAGTCAGTTTTAGATCTCCCGAACCCAACTTCTTGTAAATGGACAATGGCATCAGATTAATACTAGCACCCAAATCACACAGCGCCTTAGCAAAATGCAACAACCCGATGGTATATGGAATAGTGAAGGCACTTGGATCATTTTTTTCTGCACAAGGGCCTTGTAGCAATAGCACTACAATGTTGCAAGCTATAATCATCTTCAAAACTCACGGCCCGCTTCTTAGTCACCAAATCTTTCATAAACTTCGCATACATAAGCATTTTCTCCAAGGCTTCTATCAACGGAACATTGATGGAAAGTTGTTTCAACATACTAATAAACCTACAGTATTTCCCTTCTTCAGTCTTCTTCACCAACCTCTGTGGGAATAGAGGTGGAGGTCTAGGCATGGGAACAACTTTCTGGGTTATCTCCACTTCCTTCTCTGTAGCATTCTCGGACTCTCAAGTAACCTCGATCTCATCATCATCTTTACTTACCTCAACTTCAACCTCAGACGGTATGGGTGGATCAATGGCCTGCTTACCCCCTCGAGTAGTGACTGTCATACAATGCCCATCATTCTTCGAATTTTGGATAGTGTTGCTAGGAAGTGTGTCAGGCTGACGTGGATTGACTATAGTGGACAACTGATTCATCTGATTCTCAAGTTGTTTGATCGACATTGTATGGGCATCAACTTTTTGATCGATTCTAGACAAGTCGTTTCGCATCTCCTTCACATTTTCATCAGTCAAATCAAACCTCTTCATCATCTTCTGCATCATATCCTCAATCCGTGACATACTACCCCCAGCTTCCCTATTACCAGATTCCCAATTTTGAGGAGGAACATAAGGTCCAGGTCTATCGTTTATGTTGCCATAGTTGTTCCAGTTGTAGTTGTTGTCACGGTTGTAATTCCCATCCTGGACATATTGACCCTTTCAGTTGTAGTTGCCATAGTTCTGACCTTGGTTTCCTTGACCTTGGTGACAATTATCCGAATCGAAACCTTGGGCATTGGCTCGAAAATCCCCCGTCTGATTATTCACTGCATAAGTATCCACTTCATAGTAGCACTCCTCAACCGGTGGTGGATTTCTAGTCAAATAATTCACAACATTTACCTTTTCAGCACCTCCACTCACATGCTTCAACACCAACCCCAGTTCGGTCCTCATCTGAGCCATCTCTTCACGAATGTCATCAGTAGATTGGTTAGGTGTGGATTGGACTAAAAACGTGCTCCTCCCAGTGTCTGACTTTCTAGTGCTCCAAGCTTTGTTATTTTGGGATATTTTCTCCAATTTCTTAGCAATCTGCTCAAAGGTACACTCACCATATGAACCCCCAGGGATAGCATCAAGCACAACCTTGCTATTGTCATCCTAGCCTCTGTAGAAGTATTCCTTCAGCGACTCATCATCAATACGATGATTCAAAACACCTCTTATGAATGCAATGAACTCTTATGAATGCAATGAACCTAAAAGTAACTTTGATTGATGTTGTTTCGACAATTATTTTTACGAAAATCATGACTCTCACATCACCAAAACAAGTTTGGAATTATATGAAGAAAGAATATGCCGGATATGAAAGAATTTGAGGAATGAAGGTATTAAATTTAATGAGGAAATTCGAATTGCAGAGAATGAAAGAGTCGGAAACAGTCAAGGAATACTCTGACAGATTGTTTGGTATTGTCAACAAGGTAAAATTACTAGGCACTGAATTTAAGGATACAAGAATTGTTGAAAAAATTCTTATTACAGTTCCTGAAAGATATTAAGCATGTATAACTACCTTGAAAAACACAAGATCTGTCCAAAATTACCTTGGCAGAATTGTTAAATTCTTTGCAGGAACAAGAACAAAGGAGACTTATGAAGCGAAATGACATGGTTGAAGGAGAATTAGTAGTCAACCACAAAACACAAAGATTGTCAGCACTGTGGAAAAAATGGACATCCTCCATATAAATGTTGGAAAAGACTAGATGCACAGTGCAAGATCTGCAAACAACTTGGTCATGAAGTTGTGATTTGCAAAAGCAAATTTCAAAAAGATGAAACAGTTGCCCAAGTCACTACTAAAGAAAAAGAAGACCACTTATTTGTGGAAACTTATTTTTCAACCAAAAAACCTAATTTTTGGATGATTGATAGGGTTGTACAAACCACATGACATATTAAAGAATTTATTTTAAAGAGTTCATTCCTATGAAAATAAGAAAGTCAGAATTGAGGATGGTGATTATATTCCTGCAAAAGGAAAAAGATATGCTGCAATTAAAATAAATTCAGGTACAAAAATAATTTTAGATGTTCTTTATATGCCTGATATTGATAAAAGTTTGTTTAGTGTTGGTCAGTTAATAAAAAATGATTTTAAATTATTATTTGGAGACAAATATTGTCGGATCTTTGATTCCACTAAGCAAGAGATTTACAAGTTGAAATGAGAGGTAAGAGCTTCTCATTTAATCCAACAGAAGATGCACACAAGTTTTGCAAGACAAAAGATGAATTGTCAGATTTGTTCACAAGATCATAATCTACAATTCTTGATCTAAGGAGGAGTGTTGAGAATATGTCACAGGATATTGTAGAAATAAAACAGTTAGCTACTTTTAGGGTTTTAAGTTATATTATTAGAGTCCTATGTAACTTGAATTTAGGAGTTCGTTCTTTTTATTTGTTATTTAAATTTTACTGACAAGTTAATAATATATTTTTCTATTTTTAGTTAGGAATTATATCTATAAATGTAAGTCTCTGAATTATTAATAAAATAATTCCCTTTGATAATACTTCAAAAAAAATTCTCTCTAAGTCTTTCTCCATTATTTTCTTTGTTTCTTTATCAAAAAACCAACAAAGTTCATGAATAATTTATTATATTTTGATTAGATCAAATAAAATTTCTATGACAAGCCACTTCTTTTCAATTTTTAAACTTTTGCTGGAAATATCTGTAAGAGAAGGAGATATTAATACAATGAACCCTTACTCCACTTCTCATTTTGCATGAATATAAAATGATATGGCAACAAATACCATTAATCAAAAACAATAAATATCAACTTCAAGCATTTTGTGAATCACTATTAGGTTCTGCTTCTACAAAATACTTTTTCACTCTCTCCTGAGCAATTAATACCTGCAAGAGACATTTTGTTGAATAAAAAATAATTAGTACCCTTCGTTTCTATTAACATGTTGTCCTTACTAAAAATAAATATTTTTGTTGTTTCACAAAATCAACGCATAAATGATACTATTCTTCCTATTTTTCCTTTGAGAGTTGTTAGCCTTGAAAGTATGAATTTGACCAACATAGTAATTTTTTTTGGGTTTCCCACCCGATGTCTAGAGTCCACACTAAAGCCCCGACTAAATCTGGATCGCGCACTACAGGGCTCATTCGAGGTGACACTCCCAACATGATTTTTTTCATACCCGGGCTCGAACCTGATACATCTGGTTAAGGGTGAAGCAGTCTCACCGCTGCACCACAACCCATGTTGGTAAAAACTAAGTAATTTATTCATGTTCATTGGTGAAATTAATTAATCAAAATAAATTAATTTATGTTCATTTATTGAAAACTTGACTTCAATAGAACACTAAATAAACATACAAATGATAAAGTTATCTAGTTTTTTAAGGGACGTGAATCCTAAAATGGTGACAATTAAATAAGAACGGAGGGAGTATTTAGTAGGTAGCTTTAACATTAATTGAGTGTATTAAAATGAAGAAATACCTGTTTGTCCCAATCAGTTTTGAGAGTGATGACAAGTAGCACAATAGTTTGTGCCAATACACCAAACAACATTCCAATCCAAACACCCTAAAATGATATTAAGAGGGCAAATAACCCTCAGTCAAAAGTAGAAAACCATAAAAAAAAAGTAGACAAAAATGAGCAACTTACTCTAACTTGCAGTTTGAAAACATAACCAAGTACAACTCCAACTGGAATGCCAACCAAGTAGTAACATCCAATGTTAACATATGCTACTATACTCTGCCATCCAGCTCCAACAGCTACACCTATAGCAAGTTGTGACATCAAATCATGAGAATTACCTATGTTTACATTTTCATATTATATAGAATTAAGTCTATGAACCAAACAAGTTACCAGAGAGAACTGGTTGAACACTGTTTAAAAGTATAGAAAATGATAATAGAGGAGATAAGTGGTCAACTTCTTCAGCCACATCTTCACTTTCAGTAAATATATAGGCCAGGCGTCCACGCAAGAAAAGGAAGAACAGAAACAGGATGAAGCCAATAACAAATGAGGTTATCACTATTGTCAAGATTGAAAACCTTGCTGCTTTCGCACTCCCTCTTCCCAGCTCGTTTGATACACGTACACTAAAAAATAGTTTTGTGAACATGAATGACAATGAGAAAAACAATAATCTAAAGAAGTCGAGAGGTGGTTATGAATAGTACCATACTGCAGCTAAGAAACCAAGTGAAATCATCATTTCCCAACCATTGATGTTAAGACTGAGAAAGTGAATAAGATGAGTGATGTAAAATGTAAAATGTAATGAAATTAGAGAGGTGGAGTAGTTAGCTACCATATAGAAAGAGCATCAATCTGAACCATAGCATTTTTGAGGTTTCCTGTAAGAAGAATGAGTATAGTGTTGTACCATAGTTCAAGGCTGTCAAAAGAATAATTTTCATCAAATCAAAACAACGTAACTAGTCAACGACATGGAATGGAATCGAGTGAAATCTCATCTCACCAGAGCATGGCACCTGAAGAGAAAGAAAGCTTGATAACAGGCCAGAGATCCTTAAAGGCCAAAGATGTAAATCCCTTCCATGTTTCTTTACAACCTCCAGAAGTCACATATATCAACTGACCAATATTAGGAAGCCAATATGCCAAGAGTGTAGACGTCATGGCACCAGTCATTCCAAACTTGAACTTGACCGTTAAAAGCCAAGAGAGGAAGATATGAATCACAAGAGTACATGCTGCTAAGTAAGTAATAATCATGTTCTTACTTTGTGCTTGTAAGAACATTTGACATGTATATGATGCAATGAAGGAATAAATCACCGGTATTAACCATAACGAAATAACTCCTGCCTCTTCCGCTATAGCTTCTTCCTGGCCTAAAGCTTTTAAAATAGGAGTTGTGAAAATAAAGATTGGTAAAAGCAGAGTTCCTGTTACAGTCAAGACAATCCAAGATCTTTGAAGATATATGCCTAACATGTGATACTGTTTAGCACCATATGCTTGTCCACAAAGTGTTTCCAATCCACTTGCCATTCCTAACAGAATGCCATTTCCAAATCTGAGGAGGACAGTGATGACAAGGGCGTAGGCTGCAAGTTCGATAGAACCAATATGACCGATGAATGCCTGGCTAATGACATTTACTCCAAACGTCGAGAATCTAGTAAAAATGGCAGGAGCAGCTATCACCCACATTTTCTTCCACTCCGCCAATATCTTCTCCTTAATCTTCACTTTATTTTCTTCCACTTGCACTTTACTCAACAGCTTCTCACTAATATCATCACCTTCCATTTTTAATTCGTACGATCAACCTCTGCAACATGTATATATCAGACTAATTAGCCCAACGCACCATATTTTGCTCTCAATTCAAACCTCCAAATAAAGTGTTTGGACAACTCTTTTACATACGAAAACATCCTTACAAGGATGACACAAACTAATGTATGAATTCTTTGAAATTTGTACTCATACAAAATCAGGATTATTTTGTCTACACTCAACTTTGTTGCATACTCCCTCTTTCAATTTTGTGGTTTGATTCACCAAACTAATTTATGTGCAGTGTGAATTTGGACATTCAATCTTTAATCTTCTAAAATTAACGTCTTGATATTTAGAAACTACGTAAGAAGTATTATATGTCAAAATAGTTAACAATTCAAAATATTTAGAAAGTATATAGAGAAATTCATGATCAAAGAAAAAATATACTCTATTTGTTTCATATTAATTATGTTGACAGTGGCGTAGCCACATGGTGGTCAGGGTGTCCAATTTGTCGAAAAAAATACCGTATATACAAGTAAAATGATACATGAAATGATTAAATAACATATTTTGGACACCCTTAACACAACAAGTTATTGTAGCCTAGTGGTTTCACCTCCTTGGAATGAGGTAGTGCTCATGTGTTTGAATCTCACTAGTTTTACTTCTTGAAAATAGTTTTTATTGTGCTATTTCTAGACACCATTTGGGGAATTCCTGACTCTGCCACTGTATGTTGACATGGCACAACCCTTAACAAAGCTTTTATTACGAGTGTAGTTTACTAAATAAACTTTATTAGTTATATTATAGAACTCTAAAATTGACTATTACGATTTTATATAATATTTAACACTAAGGATAGAGAAAAAACAATATAATAAAACTTTTTTGATTTTCTAAACTAAACAAATCAAATGAAACAACTTTGTTTCTATTGAGGTCAAATAATATGAAACAAAGGAAGAAAAGAGTAATTAACACACATAAAAAAGAGTACAATTTTTATTTTTATTTTTAAAAAGTAAGTGAATCTATTAAATACGAACCACTGAACTTAGGAGTCGTTTGATAATGGTTAGACTTATGCAATTTTAATAATATAGGGATTAGTTATGAGGAAATTTATGTATACATACATTAGTTATGCGTGTTTCTCAATTGTCAATCACAACTCGTATTAATTTTAGAAAAATTATGGAACTAGTCAAAATTAGCAACTTATTTATGGAAAATAGCTATAGTTTTAAAATATTATATATATAAAGAAAACCAATATGTTGTTTTTATAGCAAACTGTTATCCTCTCTTCCTTGCTTCTCCTCCCTCTCTCTTGTTCTCTCCTCTCTCGCGCCCTATCTCTCTCTCTCTCTCTACCCTTCCCCTCTCTCCCTTGCCTCTCCTCCCTCTCTCTTGCTCTCTCCTCTCTCTCACCCCTTCTCTCTCATGTTAATAAGAAGAAATAATTCATTCAAATATACTATGTATCAATTGTATTAAATAAAAACTAGGTGAGAGTTTTGTATTTTTATTTCAATTGTATTCGAAAAACTGTATTTTATATTTTTGTATCAATTGTATTTGTATTTGTATGAATGCAATATGCATTCATCCTCTCAGTCAAATGTATTTGTATCTAATCAAAGAGAGGATGAATACAGTTGTATTCGTTGTATTTCGAATACAATTGATACAAAATAAATAAAGAATACAATGCAGAATAAATACAAAATATAATTTGTTGCATTTCGAATACAATTGATACAAAGTACAATGCAAAATAAATACAAAATGCAATCTTCTTTCCTCCCTCTCTCCTCTAATATGTATTCATTTTGATACAAATCAGTTTGTATTTGTATTTTTTTTCTCCAAAATTAGGGGAAAAAATACACTCTCCTCTTTCTCCTAGATCTCGCTCGCCTCTCTCCTCCCTCCTCTAATATTTTTCTATTATTCGTAATTAAGCAAATTATAGCTATAGAGTATCTAATGTTTGCTATTTTTGAAAGCTTCCCTTAATTTTATATATGAATAACTTATTTCCTAATAAGTTATAAAAAAATTAATACATGAATAACTTGTGTTTTTTCAGCTACCAAAAGGGAATTATCCTTGGTTAACGAGGGAGTTGAGATTACCTTGGCTCAATTATATCTCTATTATATTAACTAGGTTAAAAATATCATTATTTCATACAGAATTTAACGGAGAGCATATTTAGACCTATACACATACATCAAAGGCATATTTAGTTCCTAACTGCAATTATGCAACAATTTGTGAAGTATTTATGAAGCAACTTGGTATTGTAGTGAATTTTTTCACCAATTTAAGACATGATACACACATTTTAAGCCATTTTAAAGCAATCTAACGAGTTATTTTATACAATTTAAATTATAAGTTATAGATACAACAATCATAATATATCATAACATAATAATTCATCACTACACTTTAAACACCAAAATACCTTAACATTCCATAAAATCAGAAAATGACATCAAATAAAAAATACAGTTACATTGCATTAAAATAACATAATTAAACCCCTTGCTTCAAATCACGTCTTTACATTCCACCAAACCACGTAATGTCATTATATTCCATCAATTCCGAACATGTAATTAATCTTTTTTAATTAAGGACAGTTTTTCCTTAACTTTTAATTAAGGTTGATTAGACAGGTTTTTCTTAATTTTGTAAAAGGATTATTTTGAAAAAAATATTATATGAAATACTGTGCAATATTAATGTCATATAAGTTTGATCAATCAGTTGACAAAGTATGATGACTAGGAGTTTCAGACTGATAAACGGTGTCAAGTACAGAAATCTCTTCGGTCATTCTACCTTTATATTATTTTAGTTATTGTATTTTTATTTTGAACTTATAAATTTGTAAAAAAAAAAAAAATCCTTCATAAAGAAAAAGAGATTAATAGTCAATCTGAAATCCTAGACTATGATACATAAGTTACGCTCAAAGAAAATATATAGTAGGAGTGATAATTATCCCAATATTAAATTTATGCGATCCTATTTAATTTGATGATATCTTTTAACCACTCATAAATAAAAAAAATAAAAAATGAAATGTTTTCTAAAAAAAATAAATAAATAAATATATATATATATATATATATATATAGGGAGGTAAGATTTGGATAAGATTAGAAGAGAAATGTGTGATGTTATGAAAAATGGAAGAAAACAAATTAGAAAAAAAAAGAAAGGAGAGATATAAAGTTGAGATAGCACGTGGATTGTTTACTAACACAGATCTAACAAAAATCAAAGTTTTCTTATTTCTTTTTTCATCTCCTCCTCCCAAACATTCCGATAGAATCGAAACGATACAGAGAAAAATTAGCGTGGCTTCTGTGCAAGAATGATAAGCATAAATCGATAAATAAGTTTAATTTTATTAAAAACAATACATATATATAAATGATGGTAAACCTAAAAGTATGTAATTCATGGAAACAAACAAACATGATGAATGAGAAAAGGTAATTAAGAGAAGAAAGAAGAAGAAGAGAAAAGCTACAGTACTTACGGTAATTTAGGAGAGTTTTTCCGTTTCTCAACTTTTTCCAACTTAGCTTCTTTCCTAAACGATGAAAGTCATACAAAGCATGTTTGTTATAATATAATATACTGTATGTTTTAACACACAAATTTGATAACGATGTGTTGGTATCAATAAATTCGACAAAAAAATATTACTCTCTCCGTTCACTTTTATTTATCAAAATTTAATTTGATACATCTTTTAAGAAAATAATTAATGATATAGATATTTTACTAAATTATTTCCTATCAAATGTTGTCTTAGAAATTGATTTGGAAAAATAAGTATTTAATGTTGAGGGTAAAATATGAAAAAATATTATTGTATTTTCTTGATATGTCAAAAATGACAAAGTAAAAATAAAAATTTATTTTAAAAAAAAGTGACAAGTAAAATTGAACGGAAAGTGTGTCCAAGAATGTAAGTTGGGACGAATATATCAAATGGTATTTGGCTTTCTATTTTCGTTCTTCCACTCCGTCAATATCTTCTCCTTAATCTTCACTTCATTCTCTTCCACTTGCACTTTACTCAACAGCTTCTCACTAATATCATCACCTTCCATTTTTAATTCGTACGATCAACCTCTGCAACAATGTATATATCAGACTAATTAGCCCAACACGCCATATTTTGCTCTCAATAAATAAAGTGTTTGGACAACTCTTTTCCATGTGAAAACATCCTTACAAGGATGACACAAACTAATGTATGAATTCTTTGAAATTTGTACTCATGCTAATTACTTAAACAAAATCAGGATTATTTTGCCTAATCTGTCAACTTTCTTTAGGAAGGAGGATGGCAATGGGGCGGGGCGGAGTGGATTTAAGGTTATGTAGGGCGGATTTAGGGTTATGCAGGTCGGGTTGAAATGGTTTTTAAAAAAATTAATGCGAGACTGGACGGATTGCGGATCTATGCAATTTTGTGTCGGTTCAAACTTAATTTTAACTTTTTACATGTTATAAAAGTGATAAAGTATTATCTATTGAGACAGTTCTTTTAAAGTTACTAAAATATTCAAGATAATAAATGGAAGTAGTTCAATCAAAACTAATATAATTTCTTACATGCTTCCTAATTGACCTATAAAAAAATAAAATTTTAAGTCATTATCTATTAAATTAATACAATTTAATGAAAAAATGAATTTATTGTTATAAATTTTATTTTTAGTATCAAACTTAACTACAAAAGGAAAACATTAAAAAAATTATGCAGGTGGATTACAATTTTTATGTTTTTTTAAAAAAATTTAAGTGAATCTATTGAATACGAACCACTGCACATAGGGGTCGTTTGATAGTTGATTAGACTTATGCAATTATTAATAATATAGAGATTAGTTATGAGGGAATTTATGTATACATATTTTAGTTGCGTGTTTCTCAATTGTCAACCTAAACTAGTATTCATTTTATGAAAATTATGAAACTAGTCAACATTAGCAACTTATTTATGAAACGGCTATAATTTAAAAAGATTATAAAAAAGAGCAATATATTATTTTTATAGCAAACTGTTCCCTTCTCTCCCTTGCATCTCCTCCCTCTCTCTTGCCCCTCCTCCCTCTCTCTTGCCTCTCCTCTCTCTCACCCACCCCCGCCTCTCTCTCTTTGTGTTTCTCTCTCTCATGCCAATAAGAAGAAATTTATTCAAATGTATTACATATCAATTATATTCAATTAAATATAGGTAAGAGTTTTGTATTTTTATTTCAATTGTATTCAAAAACCACATGTTTTGTATTTTTGTATCATTTGTATTTGTATGAATACAATATGCATTCATCATCTTCGTCAAATGTATTTGTATATAATCAAACAGAGGATAAATACAGTCGTATTCGTTCTATTTAGAATATAATTGATACAAAAATAAATACAGAAACAATGCAAAATAAATACATAATACAATGCAAAAAAAATATAAAATACAATTTTTTCTCCCCCCTCTCTCAATCTCACTCGTCTCTCTCTTCCTAATATGTATTCATTTTGATACAAATCACTTTAAATTTGTATTTTTATCCTCCAAAATTTGGGAGAAAAAATATACTCTCCTCTCTCTCTCATATCTCGCTCGCTTTTCTCCTCCCTCCTCCCCTAACATTTTGCTATTATTCGTAGTTAAGCAAACTATTGTTATAGAGTGTCAAATGTTTGCTATTTTTGAAAGTCTCCCTTCATCCTATATATGAATAACTTATTTCCTAATAAATTATACGGAAGAAAATTAATACATGAATAACTTGCATTTTTTTTTTAGCTACCAAAGGGAATTATCCTTGGTTATGAGGGAGTGGACATTATCTTGGATGCTTCATTACTGCCGAACTAACAACTTGTGTTCGGTTTCCCAACTCAAATATTTTATATATTTAATGGATTTCGAAGTACAAATACGAGGATTAAAAAATAAAAATAAAAAGCGTTATTGGTTACTCAGCAACACACACCCATTAGGCCATTATTATGGTTCTGCCCCTCTATTTGAAAATGGTCAAAATGTCTAATATTTATCGTTCTATAATAATTTGGTTCAATTATATCTCTATTATATTAATTAACTAGGCTAAAAATATCATCCTTTCGTACAGAACTTAACGGATAGCATATTTAGACCCATACGCATACATTTAAGGCATATTTAGTTCCTAACTGCAATTACGCATACATTTTTTTCACTAATTTAAGAAATCAAATACACACATTTTAAGCCATTTTAAAGCAATTTAACATATTATTTTGTACAATTAAATTATAAGCTATAGATACAACAATCATAATATAAATAATTCATCACTACACTTTAAACACCAAAATGCCTTAGCATTCCATAAAATCAGCAAATGACATCAAATAAATAAAAAATACAGTTACATTGCATTAAAATAACATAATTTAAAAAATCACGTCTTTACATCCCACCAAACCACGTAATGTCATTAATCTTTTTAATTAAGGACAGTTTTTACTTAACATTTAATTAAGGATGATTAGACAATTTTTTCTTGATTTTTAATTAAGGATGATTAGACAGTTTTTTCTTTTTTTTTAAAAAAAAAAATTATATGAAATATTGTGTAATATTAATGTCATATAAGTTCGATCAATAGTAAGATGAATTTATTCAATTGACAAAGTGATGAGCAGAGTCTCAAACTGATAAACGGTGTCAAGTATAGAAGTCTCCTGGAGCTAGGTCTGCCTTTATACTTTTTTTAGTTATTGTATTTTTACTTAGAACTTTTAATTTTTTTTAAAAATCCTTTTAAATTTTGAAGAAGTTTTTCTAAAATCCGCCTCCGTTTCTTTTCATGACAGATGAAAAACGTCTCAACCCAAATTCACACATATCGTTGAAATAAAATTTGCACTAATAAATCCTTTTACCAAAACTCCTTCATAAAGAAAAAAAAGATCAATAGTCAAAAATAAAATAAGCTATTTGGTTATAATATACAAATGCGATCTAACAATCTAAAATACTGGATTATGATATATTAGTTACACTTCAAATTAATATATAGTACTAATAATTATCCCACCATTTAATTTATGTTATCCGATGATATTAAAAAAAAAAAAATATATATATATATATATATATATATATATATATATATAAAAGGGAGGTATGATTTGGATAAGACTAGAAGAGAAATGTGTGACGTTATGAGAAAGGGAAACAAATTAGAAAAAAAGGGAGAGATAGCACTAGGGGTGTGCAAAAACCAATTTAACCAATAAACCGAACCGAAAAAAACACTATTGGTTTATTGATATTGGGTTATTGGGCTAACGGTTTTTAAACGGTTTTGCAAATTTTTTTATTGGGTTATTGGTTCGGTTTCCGGTTTTTTAATTTTTGTTAATGGTTAAACCGATAACCCAATAAGACTATACTAAATTTACTAGTCTTATTGTTAATGGTTAAACGATTGTTACTTTCACACTTTTTGTTAATGGTTAAACGATTGTTACTTTCACATTTTTTCCTTTGAATGTGTCTAGTGTCTAAACTTGCAAGAAAAATGATTGTTACTTTTATGATTATTACTTTCATGCCAAATGCTGGAAAAATCATATGGTTTATTTGAAAATTTTCTTATCGTGTATATAATATATATGAGTATTTTCTTATTGGTTAAACCGAAAACCGAACCGTTAAGTACCATAAACCGATTAACCAAAAACCGATAAGAAATATGTTATTGGTTTGGTTATCGGTTTGAAGTATTTACAAACCGAAAACCAATAAACCGAACCAATAACACCTAAAACCGAACCGAACCGACCGATGCGCACCCCTAGATAGCACACGTGGATTGTTTACTTACACAGATCTAAGTAACAAAAATCAAAGTTTTCTTATTTCATTTTCCTCCCAAACATTCCGATAAAATTGAAATGATACAGAAAAATTAGCGTGGCTTCTGTGCAAGAATAAATCGAGAAACAAGTGTAGTTTTAATTTTTATTAAAAATTAACAATACATATATAAATGATGGAAACAAACAAACATGATGAATGAGAAAAAGGTAATTAAGAGAAGAAGAAAAGCTACAGTACTTACGGTTAATTTAGGAGAGCTTTCTCTTTCTTAACCTTTTTTCCACCTTCTGCCTAAAATGTTTCTCAAAGCATTTATTTTAACACACTAATTTGACAAGGGTATCAATAAATTCAATTTTTAAGAAAATAAGTTTCTTAAAATAACGAAAATGACTTTCATAATAAAAAAAAAATAAAAACTCACTTTCATTGATAACAATTCAAAATATTCTTTTAAAAAAAAAAAAAAAGTTTCAGGAAATTATGATGAAATTTACCTGCATGCCCAAGAATGTTAGGTGGGGACGAATATATATCAAATGGTATTTGGCTTTCTATTTTCGTTTTTTATTTTATTTTATGTTTATATTATATTATACCATTCTAGATTATCTGTTTCTACTCAAAATTAACAAGCTACGTCAGTTTTTAATTTCCAAAGATAGTATTATAAAAAATATAAAGGATATCAACCAGGGGCGTACCTAGCTTTATCAAAAAATTACGTTATATATATATATATATATATGTCAAATTTTATATTTAAATTGTATATATTTAAAGTTGGACATTTTTAACAAAAGTTATGTCTTTGGCGTAGTGGCAATAGATGTCTATTTTAGTGAAGGAGTTTTGGATTCGAACCCCAAATAGCACAATATTTATTATTTTATTTTGACAATCACAAACTATTATTCTCACACATCCTTAATTAAATTTCTAGCTATGCCACTATATCAACAAGCCAAGATCATTATTCTTGGACACCCTTAATTAAATAGTCCATTCTTTATTATATATTTCCCACTTCAATTTATTTGACCTATATTTTTTAATTCATTAAAAAAATTGTTTACAAACAGTTTAATTTCAACTTTCTCTTTATAACTTTTTAATTTCAATTTTCTAACTTTGATATATTTGATATATCTTTAATTTAAGATAATAAAATTCAAAAAATTTATTTATTTATTAAAATAATATGTCAAATAAAATTAAAACAAAAAAGTTTTTTTGTGCAATCATCGTATCTCTCCATTCCTGGTAAGACTAAGCTATAGTGCTAGAAATAATAATAATTGATAATCTTAAATTGAGTTAGGTCTAAATGGAGCAACGAAAAATAAAAATTCACGAGAAATTTTTACCTTCTACCTCAATTTAGATGACTCATCTTTTTTTTAATCAGTTCAAAAAAGAATAACACTTTTTTATATTAATTATTAATTAACAACTTAATATTAAAATATTTATTTTACCTTTAATAAAAAAAACTATAATAACACAAATATCTATCATTTACTTTAGACCACAAATTTCAAAAAAATTCTTTATTTTTTAAATCTTATATCAAATCAAACTAACTTATATAAAATAAAACGGAACACTATTTGTCATTTGAACTTTTCTTTGTTCTTGTAATCATTTCCAACACGTATATATATGAAAGAAGCTTTAAAATAACATTCTGCTCCACAATTAATTTTTCCTCAGTAGCTGGCGCGACAGCTCCTCGATCCTCAGCTACAACCCACAAAAAATGGATAATGCTAAATGACTAGAAAATTTGGTCAAAATTTATTCAAAAATTTAAAAAAGTCATAATATTTTTTTTTTTTGAAAATAAACTGATCTTTTTTTCTTTTTTAGTTAAAAGATATTAAACTTAAAAGGATAAAAATATTTTAAAAGATAAAATAACATAAATAAAATTCCATTCTGATTAAATTTTGGCCAAAAGAATTTTTCCAAAAAGCAAATAGTACATATAAATTATTGGAGATATTTATTATGGTGGACCCATCTATAAAGGGTTGCAAATAATTAGTTCGTTCTTGACAATTGACATGAGTAGTATGCAAATTCGGATATTCTCGAGGCATCAATGTCCTCCGTATATTAGGTGGTGAAATTTTTTTAAAAAATTTGTATGCAAAACATATTTTTTAGGACTTTAACATTATATTTATAAATTAAATTTATTATTTCATGCTTATTATTAGAGCCGTCAAAACGGGCATAGTCCATGGGACTGGCCCAACCCAATCCGTTATTGGGATAGGGTTAGGATAAGATTTTTCAAACCCATTTAAAACTAGGGCTTATAAGCTCCACCCATATAAACCCTTGGCTCTTGAGGCTTGATCAAGGACGGGCCGGGATCGATCCATGGACCAAAACTTTTTATTTAAGGATAACTTACAATAATCTCACTAGTACATAATCTAGTTATTTAAATACACGTTATGTTGTAATATTATGAATCTTACCAGATTTTGGTACGTTCAAATACATGTATATCGGAATATATAGACTCAAAATTAGGTTAATTTGTTCTAGAGACACTCTTTCCAAGTATATCCGCATGTATCTAAGATACATAGACAAATCTCGCGCCCTCACTTCCCTCACATATTGCTTGCACTCTCTTATCTCGCTCGCGTATTTGGTATGCGAGATACATGCTAATTACACCAGATTTTTTGCTAGTATTATTGAAACAACACAATTGTTTGTCATATTTGATTTGAAAATCTTCTCATTTTCTTGATGTTATAGAATTATAAGTTTGAAAAGAAAAAAAATGAAAAAAGAAGGGCTAGCCTGCCTCAGCCCTCGGCCATTCTAGGGTTGGGTTGGGTTGAGCATTTTTAGGCCCTTCCAAATGAAGGGCCGCCCCGCCCTAGCCCTTCAAATTCCTTGGCCAGCGAGACTTGGGCCGGGTGGGGCTGGGTCAGCCCTTTTTGACAGCTCTACTTATTATCATGGGCGGATCAATGAAGGCTTGTCGGGTGTCACGCCACCCACAAGCTTCGACGAAAACTCTCTCTCTCTATATATATATATGTATATAACAAACATATAAATAATAAATGTGCCACTCAGTGAAACAAAGCACTAAATAGTGCCAGTGGCGAAGGGACATATGCTGACTGGATTTTGCGGGATCGAATCTTGTGTTGATTGCTGAATATTTGAACCGATTTTATATCCAATAGTTAACGTATTCATCCTAATCAACTCACATTCCTTCCATCTCACACGATTTTTTCCATTAAACAACAAAATTACGAATAAAAAAAAAGGCACAAAAAGGTTTGTAACTACCATTTATGTCATGTATTTGATTTTTCCGTAGGTTTCAATTTAGTCTTCTAATTTTTTCGATTAGTTTTATTAAATTAAGATAAAACTTCATTGATTTAAGATTTACTTAATATATTTTCATAACTAATTATTCTCCAAACAAAAAGATTGTTAATATTCTTTTATTATTATTTTTTCCAATGTTACAACGAAGCCAAACTTGCAAACCATGAAACATTGGGTGGAAGCATTTAATCATGTTTATTTTTGTAGGGAGAGGTGGTTGCATGAGGAAAGTGACGTTCTGATGAATAGTACTTGAACATCACAGGCACAATACACTATTATTAATCTACTAAAAATAGCACAATACACAATTATTAATCTACAAAAAATAGCACAATACACTATTATTAATCTACTAAAAATAGACCTCATCTATTATGAATTTCTTCGTTATTGTTTTTACGAAGATATACGTACTAGAACTGATACAGCCCAAAATTCAGATACACAAGCCGAGCAAGATGGTGTTTCAAATATTTATGTAAAAAAAATGTAAGATTTATGCATAATTCGCAGTATACTTTATGTATCTATCTTACAATCTCAAAAAATTTAAATTTTGTGTGATATCAGATATCATGGCATATACATGATATCTGATATAGCTATTTTTCATTTTTTTTTTGTATCTAATATATAGCAATGTTATTTATCAGATACATGTATATCTAAGAAGTATCGGTATTTGTGTTATATCATATACAAGGGGATGTATTCAATAATTAATCAAAGAAATTCATGTATATTAATCAGAATTACTTACATAACATGTATCTGACCTAATATTAACAACAACGTATGTGTCATACTTATTAGTTTAATGTATCTTAATTATCTCATATACAATTTAAATGAATATGTTAAACAGTGTATCTAACACAGCTACACCAAACTATATCTGATATAATAGAAAATTTGTAGCTGAACTACCTTATATCATAATCTATCTTAAACAAGTTAGTAAATGTACTTGGATTAGTTAGGCAGTGCATCTATAATAGTTTCGTATTATGTATCTGAACTACAATCAACTATGCATCTTGATTTAGATAATATTAGAAATAAATGTTGTGACATATCTCATAATAAAATAATGATAGTGACCATTGTTGAACAAAAAAGGTCGAAATTATTCAAGAAGAAGAAGTGTAAAATTTGGTGAATCTCCAAAAAAATAGAAGAATTTTAATTATTTTTAGAAATTGGGATATGCCAGAATATTTCATAATTGTTACAAGCGTGAATTCCTCCTTAATTTATGGCTATCAATTACAATCCTTAAATAGATAAGCTTAATGATATGTATCTGACTAACATGCATCCCAAATACATGTATCTAGACACAATAGATACATGTATCCACAGTGAAAAATATTTTGATCCTAAATGAAACATAAATAATATTATTATATTATAGAAGAGTCTAGGAATGACTACCAGTGGTCCAATAAGATCACTACTAATGTCCAATATATTTATAAAATATATAAGTTGCCCCACCACCTTCCACTTAAATACTACATATTATATATTATTAATTACTATACTATAAATCACAACTAATATCCAATATATTTATCAAACTATATAAGTGGGCCCCACCACCTTCCACTTAAATACTACATATTATATATTAATTACTATACTATAAATGACTTAAATACTCCATATTATCTATTACAATAATTAACAATTATTTGACACTTTAAATTCTATCAATGCCATATAAATTAGGATAAAAAACCTAACATATAATATTTAAATATATTTAAAAATAATATAAGTAATACTATACATTACAATAATTAACAGCATAATTATTTAAAACTTATATAAAAAATTTAATTGACTCTCTAAATTCTATTGGTACCACATAAAATGGATTATA